ATCAGGCAACCCAAACCTGTTTCTTGATTTGAAACAATATCACTCATTAGAATATGCAGAAACTAAGTACATTTTTCTATTTAGATATTTATTTTGTTAAGGAAAATTAATGGTCTGGTTTCTACAACTTTCACTTTGGAGCAAAAATCTGGCTTTAAACTTGAAAGAAATAAAGATCGATAATTATCACGATAAATGTCAAATATCGACTGATATGAAAAAAATTATCGTGATAATTTTTTTGGCCATATCGCCAGCCCTATACTGTCGTCACATTCATTCTTTAATACTTAACGCCTAGTGAGATTGCACTTTTTTCTAACATGCCACCAGTTCACAGCAATAATTATGAAAAAACTATTTTCCTTTCCGGTCCTTCTCATAAAATCAAAATGACCACATTTTCTTAAATTTCTAGTCTTATTGTATAAACTTCATCAGTATAACTTGTAACTTGCTTTTTCTTTAAAATGTTCATGTACACTTTGACATGCATATATGACAAGAACTGGACAGTCTAATTACGTTGGCTGTGGACAGAGGGAGATGAGAGGGCCAGTTACCTGCAGTGACCTGAATCCACCCTTCAGCCACACAAAATGGCAGAAGAAATAGAGTGGAGGGAAGGCGTAAGAGAGAAACAGACAACAAGCAGCAGTAAACGTTAGCCTTCAGCAGTGAAAGCAAGCTTCCAACATACAATGCAAAAAGGAGGCGGACTCTGTCACACATGCATTTTTTCCTCAAACACAAGCAGGAATTAGGACATCTAGCTAAGCCACAAAACAACCTGAAAGCTTTGACGGTTGTGGAGAGTTTCATAGCTTGAAGATGGTGTACCTGTCTGGGTTGCGGTGCAGTGTTCATTTGTGGAGATGGCCCGGGAAAAACAACAGAGGGAGGCTGACCTGGGGGATAGGCAGCCTGTGGAACAAATGGAAACACTGATATTGTTAAACGAGACTCAAATAATCCTCATCACAACCGTAGGTTTCACCGATTCTGCTTTCACCTGTGTCAGTCCTGGCGATTGGGCGGGGTGGGGAACGGCAGGGGGTCCTGTTATAGGCTGAGGTGGTTTATTCATTTCCTGTGGTTCTGCATGAGGGGGCCTCACACTTGCCTACCAAACTAGTGAATCAGGAAAACATGATTTGAATTTTTTTAATTAATAATCAGATACAACCAACCACGGTTTTAAAGTAATATAGACCGATTGAGCTTTATAATGCCAACTAATCAGAACTAATTTTACAGCCATGTAAGTGAAGTATACAATAATGTGTGTCTTACATAATTTGTGAAAATCATACCTCTAAATTAGTATTATGAATCTCTGGGGTATCGAAAAGCCCTCAGGGTGAGTCCTTGTGTAGTGTGTTAGCAATTCACCCTGGAGAGAAATAAGAGGCAATTCACCACATACGCACTGCAAACGGAGTAATGTGAACCTGGCATTATGTGTGTGCTCTGCGAGTGTGCACCAGGAGAGCGCACGGGCGCTGAATGGTTAAACACTGGCAAGAATGAAGAAGTAATGCAATTTATAAACTTTAGTGACGATGTGACACTGACACTTACGTCTCACACAAGGTTTTCAAATTACTTTATAAGTTACTAAGTATATATATCTTTTTTTTTTTTTTTTTTACCAAAAACAGAGTAAAAAGCACAGTTTTCTGTTTTTATATATTTATCAAGCTTAAAGCTGAATCAATGAAGCTTCAGTGTCACATGATCCTTCAGAAATCATTCTAATATGATTTAGTACTAAAAAAATATTTCTTATAAACGTTGAAAACGTGTTGCATAATATTTTTGTGGAAATCATGACATTTTTTCCAAGATTCTTTGATGAAAACAAAGTTCTAAAGAACAGCATTTATAAATAGAAATCTTTTTTAACATTAGAAATGTATACTGTCATTGATCAAATGAATGCATCAGTGCTGAAGAGAAGTATTCAACTCTTCAAAAAAAAAAAATATATATTCCAACCCCAAACTTCTGAACAGTTGCAGTCAATTAACAGTAGCGACAGACTATGCACATGGGTAGGAAACATTCCATGACTAGCACTATTCATCTAAAAAAACTTTTAAAAAACACAAGTTAAAGTTTCAGTTGCGTCAAGTGACATTCCAGCGACAAACATCTGAATGTCAAACATGGCAGCAAAGACGGGAACTATAAGACGCACCAATTACGCTGAAGCAACATATACTGTATACCTGATTACGGTCGCAGAAAAGCCTGAATGAATGCTCTCTGCGAGCAAGTAAAGAACGGGTGGGGGTCTACTAGTGTCAACTGAGATAAGACCACACCACACCCTTAAGATCTCAAACACACAGAGCCAGACTGGGCATTTAACACAATCTCTCAGCTGAGAAAGGATGGGGAAGCCGCAGGAGAGCTCAGACCATGGGTTATAGAGATGTAGGCTCTTCATTCTGGGAGTGTCTGTCTGCTCCCTGTGACCCTCACACAATAGGGCAGGACTTACCATCCAGCTCTGTGTTTTTGATCCCGACAGATGGCAACCAATAAACACCCTAAGACCCTCTCAAAAAGACCTGACTTTCTGGGAGAGGGCAGACGGGGGAGGTGAGCGATGCTGGGGAACTGAAACACGTGGGGAATGTGCTTCCTTCAGAGGGAACATGAGAGCCTTTGACAGACCACCAAGGCAAAACTACATTTATGTATTTCTTTCTCAAAAGGGAAAAAAGGGGGACAACAGGTCAGAAAGGCATTGGGTGTCATGGGTGTAAATAAAGTAGGACATATAAAACCTAGAGATGAACGAGCTAAACATGGGATGTTTAAGGCACGAGGGGGGAGGGTAGGCCACGCACATGTTCAATATAGCCCGATGCCCAGCCATCCGTGACATCCAGATGAAGTGTGTGTGGGTTGGTGGGGGGAGGGAACACCAGGCTCGAGTTGTAGAGTTATGATCAATGAATTTGGGAGAACAGGCAAGAAAGACACCCATAACAAACTCACACAAATCCACTGGCTTGTACATAGTGCTGGGCGGTATACTGGTTCATACCGAATACCAGCGTTTATTTTTCTTATATGAATTTTTTAAATACCGCAATAACGGTGTATGTCGTTTAAATAACATTCGTAACGCGACACTGTTTGAGAGGGGTCTCTTTTCACTGTTGCCCTGTGTTGAGAGCACAGCTGTTTGTGTTACAAAGCGCGAAAGTTTCGAAACTGAATCTGTAGAAACTAGTAGAACGTGATGACACAGAAGAACTTATCCACAAATATCCACATTGACCGCCACAAATATCCACCGCCCCCTGCCATCAGCTCCCGCGTCTCACACACACACACGAGCGCGACATAAACACACAAAAACATACGAGCGCGGATAAACCTTATCTTTCATTCATTTAAAAAGATTTCTCCAGTATTGCCCCGCGAGCACGAGGTCTGACTTTTCTGGCACAGTCGGGCGGCAGTGAAGCAGCGCATTGAGTTGGCTGTACCCATAAACTATGGGTCGACCGATTATCGGCGCCGATATTAAGCATTTTTATGATTATCGGTCATTTTCAAATCCGATTCGCCGATAAAATAACTTCATTTTGAAACGCGCTGTTTGGCTCTGATGCAGCCTGTCAGAACACACCACTCTGTGGCCTAAAGCAATCTCCGCCCACAGCTCATCTGATTTGTTAGGAGTCACGAGTCCAACCAATCAATGCGGAATTCACTCATTCCGAAAGCGCTTGCTAACTGGAGCTGCTTCAGTGATCACGCGTCAGTTGTCTCTCAAAGGAAGGTAGCAGCAGACGTTGCAATAAATCACAATCTACTAACGTTACACTGAAGTTGCAAAACACCTCAATATTATCTACGATTTCCGCGATGCAGAAAATGTGGACGGAATCGCGGAATCCAGTCATATAAATGGAATTTACTGTATGATGCGGAATGTCACGGAATTTGTCAAAGTTTGGATGAATTTATCAAAAGTAGGTCAGTACACAAATAGAGTCGTGATATGGACTAGTATCTGTAAATTAAGCTGCAAAAATACTATTTAAATATTAATCCTGCATGTTCTGCGTATGTAAATTGCACAAACACATGGTTTTGTTTTCTACACATACAAAGTGTGCGACGCTCGCGGTGATTTCAGCTTCTGTCGTCTCACTACATGAGGACATAAATACATAAACTCCAGAACTGCTCTGACTCCCTCCGAGAGTCACTTCATGATCATTTGACAGTTTAATTTG